CGTCCTGAATTAACGCGCGGTCCCTGGATCACACGCGTTCGTTCTCACCTCCGACAAACGCGTCACTGCATCGGATGCCAGTGCTGTTACTCCAGATCCATCGACGGAGGTTTGTGGAGGACTCCAGCACATCGCATCGCTATATGGTCCATAAGCGAGCAGTATAGAGACGGATACATGACGCGCGCACATCTATTCTCCAGGCAATGAAGCTGCTCTTAAAGGGGACGCGGCGCGATTTCTGATTGGTCCTTAAATGGGCCACGTCATGAAGTCATTGGTCGCCACTGAGTGAAGGTGATTCAGAGCATCCTCCTCCTCCATCAGGATCTGATCACTTGAGTGTGTAAACACACTGCTGCTGTATGTTCAGTGACAGTTACTGAGAAAAAGAATGTGTAATTAAATTAGTTACTTATGAAAATGTTAACGATTACAAAGGGGGTTGCATCTGAATTGTTTAACACAAACACCCACATACAGATTTAATTGACTTCTTTCATAAATCGCATTGACTGCTGCTCTAAAATATAAGACGCCAATGTTTCAGGAGTACAGAATAAGACACGTTTTTTTATAAATGACTGTTTTATTTCCTATTTGGGTTTATGCATATGCTTTATTTTTTAGGATTAAGATTTTATATTTTTTTAAGAACTGTTTTTTCCCCCACGGCATTGTTAGATACCAGTGTTTCCTTTAGCTATGCAAAGATTTGTTTTCAAAAACAGCATCATAGCTATTAAACTATCTTGTTATGATTTTAAATTCTGTATTTAACCTCAGAACGAGCTCAAAGTAGGCCCAGTCTGTTTTTGTGGCGGCTGTGCTTTAAAATGAAATGATTACAAATGATGGAGGATGATGAAAGTCTGAGACACCCAATCACGATCCCCTCACCTATTAGCAGTGTGCACTGCTTCAAAACAGTTTAATTTGGATATTTTATAACCTTTTCACTTTTATGTTGCCTCTGTCCCAACTTTTTTGGAGTGTGTTGCAGCCGTCAAAATCGAAATGTGTTTATATTTACAAAATAAATGCTGTAAGATTGTTTTCACATCTAGTACACTTAAACTCAGTTCAGCTGAACTTCCCTAAAAAGGGATCCAGCCGCAAGTGACCTCAGTGCTCACAATGTAAGTGTACAAGTGTACAAGTGTTAACCCTAAAACAAACTGAGTATGGTTCATTTGTGGGTCATTTTACGAGTGTCCAAGATCAGTTAGTGTGTATTTATTTATATTTTCTGCTCGGATTGCTCAAATGAACTATAGACGTGGAAAAAAAAAAACATCCTAGATATATCATGCAGGCTTTTGTCCAAACCAATTAGATGTACTAACATAGCACATATTGTTATATCAGTCTAGCCTGGATCTCCATGCCACTTGCATTTTTACACACAATAACAACACAGTGTCCAAAGCCGCAAAGGACTGTGGGAGGAGAGCGAATCCACACGTTCATGAAGAGCTATTGTACTCTAGACACATGTGCTATTCTCATCAAACAACACAGGCTTCATGGGAGCGGACTCAAACACACATCTGCTACTCACTTTAAATATAAAGTAGCTGCACCATGTGTGTCGACTGGTGATGAAGTTATGTCGTTCTCATTCAAAATGTGTTCTGAGATTCATTTCTTAAACCAGACACTTGTCAAACAACAGAAGGAACGTGAATCACGTTAGAAAAAGACAAACTCGTGTGACATCTTAGATGGAGTTTAAACAGGAAAGAAAAGAGCGTCTGAGAGATTCATTATCATCAGTGTTGGGAAGTAACTTACATGTAACAATGTAATTGTAATCAGTTACTGAGAAAAAAATGTGTAATTAAATTAAAGTTACGACTGCTCTAAAATATGTGACAGCAATGTTTCAGGGGTTTAAGACAGGTTTATGTGATAACTGTTTTATTTATTTGGGTTTATGTATACACTTTATTTTTTAAGATTAACTGTTTTTTTTCCCAAGTCATTGTTAGATGCCAGTGTTATAACTATGCAAAGATTTGATTTCAAAAACAATATCATAAACGATTTCTTGTTACACTCTTAAAAACAAAGGTGCTTAAAAGGTTCTTCACAGCGATGCCATAGAAGAAGCATTCAGTCAAAGGTTCTTTAAAGAACCATCTCTTTCTTACCTTTCTATAATCTGGAGAACCTTCTTTGTTTTAAATCAACCTCAGAATGATCTCAAAGTAAGTCTGATTTTGTGGTGGCTGGGCTTTAAAAATTAAAAATTAAATCCATTTTCCACAAGTTGGTATTATTCTTTAGGGTATTCTTGAAATGGTCTCAGTGGTCGTGTAAAACAACACCCTTTTTACCTGGTCAAAAACAGCTCCAGGTGACCTGTAATGATGCATATTTGTTATCAGTCATTGAGAAAACAACTGTGAAATCAAAAAGTTATGCACCTGTATTGGCTTGAAGACATAATATTCCTAATAAGACCCCGCACCCCACCTCTGCTGCCATACTCGGGTTACAGGGTGGCAGGTGGGGGGGCTTTTACAAACAGGCTTGCTGCTCAGAAAGGATTTAACAGACCATGATGCACTTGGGGCCCTGCTTTGTTTATTCTGGATGATGAAAAGAAACTGGGGGCAAAAGCTCTAAGTAAATGGAACACACACATGGCATTTATTTTGGTCAACTACTCGGCTGCCTGTAGTTCATAAACGTGCAGCCGGATGCCAGGCACTGTAATACTAGCATGAGAGGCCTTTGTTACAGTTCCTCAGTGAATGCAGGACAGGGGCCATAATGCTGTCAAAGTTGATCTGGGGCTCATGTCAAGTACCATGCAAAATATCTACAATCTACTTCTATATGCTCAAACAATTAAAAAAAAGGATTAGTTATTTTTGTTTGCTCTGTAAACAAATTCACACAAACAAATTTGTACATTGATTCCTACAGGTGCGACATGAAATGTAGCCTGAATATGTCAAACCACCAAAATGCATAACTCGATCAGCTACGTGACCACCCAAGTAAGTTCTTGTCAAAACAATGTCTGGTATCAACAAGCAGAAGTGTTAAAAAATATGACCAGCCTGTTAGAGTGCATCTCAGGAATAACTTCATTGGCTATCTATTTAAAGAATGCAATCCACAGGGTCTTCCAGATTTTGTGCACACCCATTCCTCAACACACATGGATGACGTTACCTAGCAAGTATATGCTAACATGTCACTGTGCATCAACAATCAGGGCTGTGTTGAATTAGGAAGACAATGGTTGGAATAGCAGTACCATGAGCAAGTATAATAATAATGCAAACAGAATGCTCCGTCAGTGATAGACAGTGATATGAGAGTAACTGTGTGTGTTCTTATTATGTAAGATGTAATGAGGAAAAATTTGGAATACTTCAGGGTGGAACTCAAGCCAAACTGATCTAATTTTTCACTGCAGACTAATGTCCTAGCACAAGTATTTTAGATTACACTCTTAAAAACAAAGGTGCTTAAAAGGTTCTTCACAGCGATGCCATAGAAGAAGCATTCAGTCAAAGGTTCTTTAAAGAACCATCTCTTTCTTACCTTTCTATAATCTGGAGAACCTTCTTTCGCCACAAAGAAGCTTTTGTGAAACAGAAAGATTCTTCAGATGTTAAAGGTTCTTAATGGAACCATTCAGACAAAAAAGGTTCTTCTATGGCATCGTGAAGCACTTTTATTTTTAAGAGTGTATGGTTTTAAATCTGTATTTAACCTCAGAATGATCTCAAAGTAAGTCTGATTTTGTGGTGGCTGGGCTTTAAAAATTAAATGATTCTAATCTTACTTCGAGCGAGCTTTACATATGTGAAAATGATTAACAGTTGAAAACATTAGAAATTTAGATCAAATGTAATCAGTTACTGTCATCTCTTTCTCAGGCAAATAACACAATAAATCTAACTTTAAGCACAAAAAGCATCCGACAGATAACCCAGGCCGTGTGTTAACAACATCTGATGTTCAGATCCAGCTGCTCCTGGGCAAGCTCTGCAGGCTCATGAACAGCAGAATGAACTGCTGAGGGTCTGGACTCATTAAGAGCCGTTAGATGAATTATTCAAGCACACAACACCCCGCTGGATGTCTGCAGACCGATGGAGGAGACTGTTTTCCGGCTCACTAATTATTCATTACAAAATGAGCCTTTCACTTCTGCTTCCACGATGAACTCCTGAGCAGTCTCGAGCATCATCAGTGTAAGTCCAGAAATATTCTCAGCTGTCCACAGGAAGCCCTTCATTTATTCATAATTAGGTTCAGCGGATGCTGCTTTCAGTGTACAGGAGTCCATGCCATTTCACACATTTCATGTATTTAAAGCCACTCCACAGATGTTCCTCAGAACCAATAAAGCAAATGTGGAAATATCTCCAATTATTGGTTCATGCACAGTGCTGTTCAAAGGGGCGGAGTCAGTATGTTGTTTTTTTTGGAAAGAAAACGATACTTTTATTCATTAAGGATGCATTAAATTGATCAAAAGTGCCAGTAAAGACATTTAGAATGTTACAGTAGATTTCTATTTCAAATAAATGTTCTTTTGAACGTTCTATTCATCTATGAATCCTGAAAAATAAAACGTATGACGGTTTCCACAAAAATATCGTGCAGCACGACTGTTTCCAACATTGATAATAATCAGAAATGTTTGTTGAGCAGCAAATGAGTATATTAGAATGATTTCTGAAGATCATGTGACACTGAAGACTGGAGTAATGATGCTGGAAATACAGCTGCGCATCACAGAAATAAATTACAGTTTAACAGATATTCACAGAGAAAACAGTTATTTCAAATTGTAATAATATTTTACAATTTTACTGTTTTTACTGTATTTTTGATCAAATAAATGCAGCCTTGATGAGCAAAAGAGACTCCTTTCCAAAACATTAAAAATCTTACCGACCCCCAAACTTTTTATTTATTTTATTTTATTAGTCGTATTAATAGATTAATCTCGTAAATAAAGAAAACACACATTCCCTTGAAAGCTTAACTTTAATTTCAAGAGACTACACCTTAAGTCCCAATAGCTGAATATACAAAATAAAGGGATGTAAATATTGTGTCAGATGCTTTGCGTCTAAGTATCTGGCAGACTGGCACAAAGTTAAATAAACCAAAACCACCGATTTTTTTGTAAAGCATTATAATCAATGTATGCAAGAGCAACAGATCAGCCCTGGGCAGGTGTTACAGATGTCAGAGATGACTGATTTCAAGTCAAATCGATGATAACCGAGAGAAAATGCTCAACACATGGCTTGCAGAACATCTCATCTTGTAAATTAACAGCATCAAACCTTTAAACCTCCTGTCAGTTTAATATTCAACCCAGTATATTCCCCAACTAACCTGGTCCTAGTAAGACAAGCTATGATTTTCATGTCATGAACATGTGATTGATGTGAACAGCTCTCTCTAGTGGATAGACGCCGCTACTGCCACACATCTCCAGTCTCATGGAAACGGTGCAGGTGGTCTGAGTATCTGCAGGAAGAAAGAGGAAGAAAGTGTGAACCAGAAACCACATGCATGAAACACAATTCATGTGGTTCAAAACCAGATCAAATGTCATTCAGGAAACTCGCACAGGGTAAAAACACTCACTTCTTTGCACAAAATGCAGCACAGTCCCGACTGATACTCTCACTCCAGGCGGCTTTATACAGCACCTGATCTCTCACACACACACACACACACACACACAGTCAAAACACTTAAAACAGCAGTGCGCTGTGACGGACAGCGTAAACCGAGGATCATGTGACTCACCAGGAAGACGAGGCAGTGCAGCATCAGCGTGTAGAAGAACGCCACAGTTCTGGCTGTCTTATTGGAGAGGATCACACGACCCTGAAACACATTCGCTGAGCATCAGCACAGACAGCAGGAACAGCAAAAGAGGAGGGAAATGACAAAACAACACCGTCACCGAAGACCAAGCGAACCGGATCAGGTTTGGTGAAATGTGAGCATGTGTTGTGTCAGCTTAGCTCTGAATGTGTCTGTACAAGCATCTGGATCTTTTTCCCACCATTAACTAAAATGTAGAATCACTGTATGTTTAGTCAGGTGATCACCAGAGTCACACGCTGCAGATATCTGCCAACCTTGAGAAAATAGATTTGAGTACCACAATATTTGAATAAAAAAATATCCCCAAAAAATCTAAATAAATTCACCCAAAAATGAAAATTTCCTAAAAATCAAAGGGCATTCACCCTCAGGCCATCCAAGATCCAAGTTTGTTCCTTCGTGGGATTTTGATATATTTAGCATTGCATCAGTGTCTCAGCAATGGATGCTCTGCAGTGAATGGGTGCCGTCAGAACGAGAGTCCAAACAGCTGATAAAAACATCACAATAATCCACAAGTAATCCACAGCACTCCAGTCCATCAGTTAACATCTGGAGAAGACAAAAGCTGAAACTAATCCAGCATTAAGACGTTTTTAACTAAAATACATTGAGTCCATAATCCATAATAACGCTTCCTCCAGTGAAAAAGTGCATCTGCTGTTGTCTCTCACATTAAAATCCAGCCACATATTTGTTTAGAGCTGCTTGATCTGTGCAGATTTCTTTCCTGATTCAGACCAGATGGTTTTCAGTCAAAAACGTCTTAATGCTGGATTAGTTTCAGCTTTTGTCTTCTCCAGATGTTAACTGATGGACTGGAGTGCTGT